TGCGTTCAACAGTTATAGACGTGTAAACATGGAGTTCACTAACGCCGAAATTCGCGCTATTTTAAAGTTTTCCTTCGTTAAAGGCAAATCCGCTAGAGAAACGTTCCGTGAGATTAATGGTGTTTTGGGGGATGGTACTCTATCACTTCGAACCGCGGAGGAATGGTTTCGACGATTCAGAGCCGGTGAAAACAAATACCGATCAAATCATGGAATACATTGAGTTAGACCGGCATATGGCATATTGTGACATCGCCCAGGAGATGGGAGTTAGTCACCAAACCATTTTGAACCATCTGCAGAAGGCTGGATACAAAAAAAAGTTTGATGTTTGGGTGCCGCATAATTTGACGCAAAAAACCCTTCTGGACCGAATCAACGCCTGCGATATGCTGCTGAAACGGAACGAAGTCGTCCCATTCTTGAAGCGGATGGTGACTGGCGACGAAAAATGGATCACATACGACAATATCAAGCGAAAACGGTCGTGGTCGAAGGCCGGTGAATCGTCCCAAACAGTGGCCAAGCCGGGATTGACGGCCAGGAAGGTTTTGCTGTGTGTTTGGTGGGATTGGAAGGGAATCATCCACTATGAGCTGCTCCCATATGGCCAGACGCTTAATTCTACCATCTACTGCGAACAACTGGACCGCTTGAAGCAGGCGATCGACCAGAAGCGTCCAGAATTGGCCAACAGGAAGGGTGTAGTGTTCCATCAGGACAACGCCAGACCACACACTTCGTTGATGACTCGTCAGAAGCTACGGGAGCTCGGATGGGAGGTTTTATCGCATCCACCATATAGCCCGGACGTAGCGCCAAGTGATTACCACCTGTTCCTGTCCATGGCGAATGCCCTTGGTGGTGTGAAGTTGAACTCAAAAGAGGAGGGGGGCTTCTACGAGGAAGGTATTATGACGTTGCCGTCTAGATGGAAACAGATCATCGAACAAAACGGCGCATATTTTAACTAAATCCGATCACTCTAACACTTTTTATAAAGCATTGAATGAAGAGCAAAAAAGCGGAAGAGAGATATATGACAACCTTATATTTCATTTAATACCGCTAAATGTTATTAAAAATTTAAATTAAATATTTTTGAGTATCTTCATTTTCTTCTTATTCACAATTTTTCAAAATATAATATTTCTATTATTCTAGGCATATATATTTGCATATTATACAGGTAGCCACTTCATATTTTCCATTCCTTTGAGAGTACTCTCAAATACTCTACCTTTAGTTGCGAATGTTAAGAATACAAATATGCATTAGGTTAAAATATTCATTCCATTCCATTCTGTTCCGCTTCTAATTCATTCTCATTCATGTTCGCTTACATAGAATGAGAGACCGATTCCATTCTAAAATCAAGAGAATGTTTTGAAGCTGCAAATAAATACATTAGTGCAGCTGTTTAGTTAATATGTCTGCCCATGCGAAATAGTCGCGAAAAAACCGTAACAAAACCTCCCGCTACTATGCTGGCGGACATATGTATGAAGACCTGCATGCGTTTGTATATATAAATGAGTTATTTGGGAGCATTAAAATAAACTTTAGAAGCACTTTAGCTCTTATACATATGCCATATATGATGACATTAAATATGAAATTACTGAGTAACCTACGGGGCGTAACCTTAGTTGACCCAACAATTGTGATTGATAGTGTTTAGCAGTAACTTACATACTTTTATTACATCGTTTCAAACTTTATCGTCTGTGTGTTGCCTGTTGGCTTATCAGTAATAACATGTGCATCGAAAGCCGAAACGCGGAACTTTAATCCACTAAACCTAACCTACTCCCAACTCTAGACTCTCCCACGGAACCACGTGATTAAGTATTACTTCGTGGGGGTGATAAGACATTTAAGTCTCTTCTATGGTAACTTATGGTGACGGATGTCTAAGCTGCAACGGGCATTATACTGGCTATCATTTCAGCAGCTTCCCTGGATATCGTTCGGAAAGCACTGTTTACTCTTAGTGCCGACAGCCGGTGCACTGTGTTTATTTGTTTGGCATATGCTTTAATGTTTAACGCCTGGATCCATATTGGGGCCACATATAATGCAACCGATCTCATTACCTTTACGAGGAAAAATCGCCAGCTGAAACGGCAGCCTTTTCTTGCCTTCATTTTTGATAAGGCGTTGAGGATTTTGTTTGCTTTACCCGAGGTGTTTTCTAAATACTCCCTAAATTTAAGCTTTGAGTCTATTATTACTCCCAGATGATTTTGTTGTAACTGTGATTGAATCTCACACTCCCTATGGTGAGGGATATTCGGTTCTCCAATTTCCTAGTACTTATTAGCAGGACTTCTGTCTTGTGCTCAGCCAATTCTTAACTCCTTGAGCAGAACCATTGCCGCAGACTATTGACGCATTCATTATATTTACTCCCCGATCAAGATGTTTAGCCACTGTTACCACTATAAGATCCTCCGCGTATGTGATTAATTTCACGGTTTCTGGTTGGTTTATTCTTAGCATCCCATCATACATCACGTTCCATAGAAAAGGGCCTAAAACCGAGCCTTGCGGTACTCCACACGAAGTAGCGTAGCTCTTGGTGCCTTCAACAGTGTCGAATATTAGTTGCCTGTTTTCAAAATAATTTATAATAATGTTTACAAGATATTGGGGAGCGTGTATTGATTATGTTTGCCCATTTTGCTTAGTTGAAGGCATTCTTCACATCCAGGGTGATCAGCGCGCAATATTTTTAGTTCCTCCTTTCCATCTTTTTCCACTTACTGGGCATTTCGCAGTGTCAACGACATTGTTTAGTGCGTCAATAATGGACCGTCTTTCTGATAATCCCCCGGCTTTCTGGATTGCTAACTCCAATCGGTTTCTTGCTATGCTTTCGAACACTTTGACAATCGTGTCAAGCATGCACAGAGGTCGATATGATAAGGCTTCCACCGGAGGCTGATTTGGTTTAGGTAATAGAACCAATCGCTAAACTTTCCATGGGTCGGGGAATATTTCTTCCTTTAAGGCTCTGTTTGGTATGCCGTACCAGGCGCCATGCTGATTATGATTTTTTCCGCTATGGCCAATACTTCTTCTTCACTAACTAGTAGCGATTGCTCCACAACTTTGGTTCGCGGTTTAGCGTCAGATGGTCCTTCGGAAATAATTTTTCCACGACATTCTTCATAAAAAATTTTCTTTTACGTTCTTGAATTTTGATATGCATGTTTTGTACTCAGTACCCCAAGGGTCTAAGTTTGCTTCCTCACAGAGCTTTTTAAAACAGTTCCTTTTGCTGCGGACAATGGCCGACTTCAGAAGCTTCTATTGTCTTTTAAAAATTTTCCCGAGACCGTTTGAAACTTTTATTACATCGTTTCAAGCTTTTTTGTCTGTGTGTTGCATGTTGGCTGATCAGTAATAACATGTTCGTGCACTGCTCTATACATACTTATATGCGTATGACATTGCCGAACAAATAATGCATACATAAACCTGCATACTCATATGCGTACACATGTAAATATGTCGTCCACAAAAATTACAAATATTGTTCTGCAAAAACAACACTCGTCTCAACTAGCATAAGCAACACAAGTCAATATGGCAGCCAAATTGCTGAAGCCCAAATTTATAGTAAATCACACAAAAACAACATTTTCATTCATGAACGCAGGCGTAATCTTAACAAGCGAAGTTGACTCATTCATAAAACTAAATGCCATACACATCTCCCCGAACATGCGTTGGCCTACAATCTACTTAAAATATTTTACAATTCTAAAATATATTTCCATGGCTCTTAAAGTTTTACGTCGATATTAATACATGCTCATACATAAACATACATATTTATGATGGTTTATTGGCAAAACTGTCAGAGCGGCAAGGGAAGCAGTGGCAATCGGCGTTCGTTCATTTGTTTTTTTCAACACAGCTCTGTTTTTCTATCAACAACACAATGTTGTGACGCTTTGTCGCCGCGTCAGTCCTTCGACACATGGACTCTTTGACAAGAAAATAAAAAAGTGAGCTTCGGCCATTGATTATCCGTGTCAAGGGAGATTCTGCATGAAGCAATTAGTGTACATATTATATAACAGACATTATGCGTTCTTTCATATTTGCGTACATGCACAAATAATTATATAGGTACATATACATACATGAGCAAATGTGCCACCGCTTGGTCCTTTCAGATGTTATCAAAATTTTTAATGATCAAAGGAAATAAATGTATTATTTATTAAACATATATAAATTAAATATTTAGGTAATAATACAATCCTTACTTTATTATATTGTATATTTCAAGAGATTTTATGGAATTCATCATGAAATAGGTAAATTTGATCATAGATATACATACATTGAGGTCATGACTGTGAGCGGGGGTTTTATAACCATGGGACAACCAACTTCTTACATCAAGCGCCAAATGATTCGTGTCATTGTCCTGATAAAACTGAAAACTGTCTTGAATACCAAGATTTTGCACACTATCTTATTAATAAAATGTAAGTTTTCAGCTTCTGAAGGGCGTATGTCAGCCCTCAGACCATCACTGAGGCACCACCGTGCTGCACCATTATTCTTAAATTTTTGGGGTTAAGTTCTTGACTTGGCTTATACCATGTTCCCACCAAATTTGAAGAGATTAGATTACATTTAATCTATTTACTAATCTAGACTGTTCTTACTGCCGTTGGAGCTTTATAAAACACACACAACTCCAACAAGCCTATCAAATGGCTTCGGCTTGGTTTGATACCATTTTCTGCCATTTTCACCTATTTACTGGATATTGTTATACCTGTGATAATGTGATAAATTTTCGTACTGACAAACAGATGGCGGTAAATCAGACTCGCTTCAAATCTCCTCGGTGACGAGATTAACAAGGGTCATTTTTGTATGGTGAAATCTTTCTAAATATAGTAGACTAGTGAGATAATCTACTCAACAGCTTAAAACTCGTGATTAATTTTCAGTCGGAACAAGGTATTATGCTAAAATTTATTACTTCCATTACATCATATACCAAGAAACGGTTAACCAGATTGTGGGAAATAAAAAAAAGTAAATTGTAACTGGAGTTAGAAAAGGCTGTAAGATCGAAATTCTTCTAAAATTGAAAGAACAAGTTGAAAAATATCATATCGGTAGCTGATCCTAATCCAAAGACCACGGTAGAGATGAGAAACCTTGATTCCCTTAAAACAAAACAAGAAATCATGGATGCAATAGGGAGCGCCCTTGAAAAATCAGTGCCTAATCCTAAAATTAACATCTTCCCCCGAACACTAGGGAGCAGGCCAAAGCGTAGGTAAACTTTTCAAGGCCAAGCCAAATTGGACAATAATTTGAGGAGAGATTGATTTAAAATCTATTCAATGGGGGATTAATTCTCTGCCCAGACCTCTGGAACGTCAGTTACGACCTTATACTAGTCTCAAAAGGCCTGACGATACTAACCCAGTTGAATTAATAAGTGCACAAATGTGGTTGGACGCGCTTGGTATTGATATCCACTTTCCACTAAATAAAACCAAGCTGGTATTGTTAACAAAGAAACATACTTCTATTATAACACACATGGAGACAACAACAAAAAGTCTAAGAGTACAGAAGGTTGTCAATTTTCTGGGTGTAAGATTAGGCTCCAGCTTTCTAACTTTGGTTGGATGGCTGATGGTCAACTTCGCAGGGCTGACACAGGAAAAACGGGAGCTTTTGATGTGGACCTCATAATAACCGAACATTTTCTACTCTTGCAGTTTTCCAGGATCAAAGCAGGCGAAAAACTAAAAGGTGTTGGCAAAATGTTTAAAGTTAGTGAGTTAATTAGTTAGTTCAACATTCATTATTCGACCAAATTTGGTAACTTCTTAATTTATATTGAAGGTTATGTACTCACTTAGTTTTATTAATTTACTTTAATCGTATCGACGAGAATTATATAAAAATCATCTTCAAATGAAATATAAGTGATATAAACTCAACCGAAGAGGCTAAATGTAAGATATTAAGTTGATGTGGAAAACGTCAACCAGAGGATCGAAATTCTTTATATAATATAAAGGAATGGATATGTTTACACTAAAGTTTAGACCATTTCCATTCATATTCAGTGGTCAACCACATAATTTACATATATACATTTAATTTCATTAAAATATTACACATTTTGACTAGCCCTACCGCTTTAAACGAGTAAATACTATATTGGGTGCAGAGAAAGGGACAAGCTAATTGCATTAATTTAGTTATTGCTCAGGTAAACTTGATAACATATTTTGAAGCAATTTTATATATAAATAATACTCGCTGACCGACATATTCAACATGAAACGAAAATCATTATAAATAGTGTATGGGAGTTGTGTGTAATTCGTCTATATAGAATAAGGCCCACCGGATGTTTATAGCACAGATGCCCCTCTCTATGCGATTTGTTGTACCAAATAACAGCTTTGTATCTTATTGTGGAGCTTAGTTATGGCCATTTATTAGTTTTCGATTAATAGCGTTTTGTGAGCTAGGTAATGGTCCATCTACAATACCAACCGTTTTACGGTGCCGAGAAACATATGCCCCAAATTTCATCAAGATATCAGAATTTTTACTCAGGTTACAGCTTGTACATACGGACGGACGGACAGACAGTCACCCGGATTTCAACTCACCCTTTCATCCTTATCATCATATACATATGTATAACCCTATATATATATATAAAATATATAAAAATCCGTTAAGTTTGACACAGCATTCCTTTTAAATATTTTAAACGACAGATCTGTCAATAGCAAATTCAAAGATTCAGGTGATTTACGGAAGGCTTGCACGGAATAAACAGAATTCAATTTATACTGTAATTTTGATTATTTTGACATATCTATCTATGCTAACTACCTCGATTACACCACATCAAAAAGATGCGCTAAGTCGGCAGTCTCAACAGAAGGTAATAACGGATATGGCGCAATCCATTTGTATTCATGTTAAGGCGAGGACGGGGAACAAATAGCCCTCAACAGTGCCGAAATTATCGATAATTTGGAATTTTCGTAAGTACGACTTACGTATAGTCGCGACAACATACACAAAATCATAATAATTGCAATGAAATAACTTGTATAATAAAATTTTGATAAGCCATTATAATTAATGTTTATACTTCACTTCTCGATAATTTTTCGAAATCCATATGTATCATGTAATACACAATAAATTGAAGCTTTCTTTACACATGTTATTTTCGATATCTTAGCAACATCTAAATTTTTGCAACATATTTCAAACTATTCTTTGTTAAAACTGTGAAATATTTTTATATAATAAGTTACATATGAAATTCAAATTTTTATTGTAAATCGTTTTATTTGTTTTATTTTTTCGTTTATATATTGTATTATTAATTTCTTCGTAAAAATGTAAAAAAGAGAGTAGTTTTTCTTTGTAGTGACATAGTACTTTTATTATACCCTGAACAGGATATATTAATTTTGCCACGAAGTTTGTAACATCCAAAAGTAAACGGCGGAGACCATATAAAATATATATATAAATGATCACCGTGACGAGCTGAGTTGATTTAGCCATGTCCGTCTGTCCGTCCGTCCGTCTGTCGTTGAGATATCGATCTGAAATTTTGAACAAGTCTTTTTCTTACCAAGAAGCTGCTCATTTGTCCGATATCGGACCACTATAGCATATAGCTGCCATAGAAACTGAACAATCGGAATCAAGTGTTTGTATGGAAAACTCTTGCATTTGACGAGGTATCTTCACGAAATTTGGCACGGAATATTATTTAAGGCAACAATGGAATCTCCGAAGAAATTGTTTAGATCGGATCACTAAGTCATATAGCAATCATATAAAATGATCGATCGGAGTAAAGTGCCTGCATGGAAAAAAATTTAATTTTTTCTTGCAGATTCCCAAAATTAGATCGGAATCAAGTTCTTGTAAGGAACCTTTGTATCTGTGAAGGGTATTATAGCTTCGGTGCAACCGATGTTAACGTTTTTTCTTGTTTTATGTATGGATGGATAGGGTGAGAAAGCGAGTATCCACAATTAACATCGGAAATGCCGTTACTGCATTCCTCAATCATAGGATGGAAATTACAAATTACTTAAAATTAAATTAAAAATAATATATATATTTTTCTTATTGTTTACTTGGTTGTGCTGTTTCGTAGTGAAGTACACAACATTCAAGGTACGAGACATTCAAGTCCAAGCTCGAATTTCTGAGCGTTTGGTGTGTAAACATGTAGACAAATAGACTTAAGTTATTTATCTTTTCACTATAACTTCATTTAAATACATCAGAACTATGTATATTAGTATATGTATAGGTATATCAATACATAGTATAAAACAAAGTCGCTTTCTTTGTCCCTATATCCCTATGTATGCTTAAATCTTTAAAACTGCGCAACCAATTTTGATGCGGTATTTTTTAATAGATAGAGTGATTGAAGAGAAAGGTTTTAAATTAATATTGTAGGACGTAGCGTTTGCGGTGGTACAAACTGGATCCTTTACAAAATATGATTTAAATGAATATTTTTGAAGATATTACAGATTTAAAAATTGTGGGACGTAGCGTTCGCGGTGGTACTGGCTGGCCGGGGCGGCGGGAGCGTGCCTTTAAATTGCGCGTCGGAGGCCGCGGTTCTCCTTACAGTACTTTAAATTTAGTAGCGATCAGACGCGTTTATTATCGGAGCTCTCTAGCGAGAAAAATAATAGTACTTAATGAAAACGTGATTTTTAGTGCGACAACGTGTCAGTAATTACAAGGAAGTAACGATAAATAATTGTATGGTAGTAGTTTTAAATATAAATGATATTCTATTCTAAGGTTAATTTTTAAATCGCACTTATTGTAATTATAAGTACATAAGGTTAGATAAGATTAGATTAAATAAAACCATAATTAATGGATTGGAATTTTCTCTTAAGATTTTGGTTAAAATTTAGATTAAGATCAATTTAATACTAGGCAAATTATTTTCAAAAATCGTAATTTAAGGTGAAGTACATAAGTCCAGAGAAAGAACTTAATATAATTGGTCTCTTTTGTTGTTGATGATAGTTGATTATCTTTTGTTTTTAGTTGCACGAATAGCAATTTATTTTTTAAGTATTTTTAATTCAATTAAAATCGTAGTTTAACTTGAGGTATTTCAGTTAAAAAATAACTTATCTTTTTTCTAAATGGTAAGTATTTAGATATTTTTTACTGCGGCACATACTAATAATATGGTAATCATACATATAGAACTGAGTAAATTTTGTACAGAAATTATAAATTAGGTCGTAGTAGAGTGAATGCCAGAAGAGTACGTTCGGGATAGATATAGAGCTGCGAGAGTGAGAGAGAATCTTCAGTAGAGCGTGAGGTTCGCCACAGACGAACTCCCTCCACCTGAACCACTTCACTCTCTTCTTACGGGTGATCATCAGAAATCCAAACAATTCATGCGCAATATATGCCGTTATAATAACACATTTCAAATTACCTATTTTAAGAGTAAGCAAGTCGTTGAGCATAGGTTCATGCCTACATTTAAAATTCAAGCGAAAGTGTACCACTTAGCTGGCAGCTTGCTACCACTTCTACCCGATGATCACAAATTTCAGCAAATATATTTTATTGTAGAACAAGATACAGTGCGATTGAGAGTGTTCCAGCAGATACACCTGACTTTCGTAGCAGTGGTGATAGCAGGACAACAATTTGACAAAAGAGATATTGTATTGCATAGTCGTGATGATAAGTTAAGATCTATATTATGGTACGAAAATGGGCGAAATCAGATTACAACACGCCTATTTTCCATATGACACCATTTTAAATTCCACTTGATTCTTTTACTTTCCACTATGCAAATCAAGCAGCAATGATTATATCGGCGTAAAACTTTGCGTGAATAATACGGTTAAAGTATGCCACCTTGCGATCAAAAATACTCTAAATCGAACCAAAACTGTTCAAGCCCCTAGGTACTGAATATGTGGACCCCAGTACCTATAGTTGGGGGAAGATATATAATTGAAATTCATATAATAGAATAATATAATAGAATAAATAAAATGTCTTTGTTTCAAAAATGGGTTGAATCGGATCAATAGTTCTTGGAGCCCTCATATATCTAATATAAATATTTTTGAACTTCCGCGTGACTTTATACCGCATATGTGAGTTATCTCAATGAAAATGAGAGAGCGTGTTTTACTCATAACAAGATCAAATCGGGTGAAAATTTTCCTTAGCCCCCATGTAACTATTTGGTGATGGTATGTGAGGTACCTTAATGAGACAGTGGGAGCATTTTATTAGTCTGTGGCATGTTAGTAGTATGTGGTATTGGAAAAAATTAATAAAATCGGGTTAATACTACCCTCAAATTCCATATACTACTTATAATGCTTTTCGTTATTCTAACCAGTTTTATGCCGAATATGTCGGTCAGTGAGTATTAATATTTTTTTTTATATATAAAATTGCTTCAAAATATGTTCTCGAGTATAGCTGAGCAATGTCAAAATTAATATATTTCTCTATCCCCAATATATACATGATTTCCGTCTTTCCACCTGACTTTACACCGTTCCGGTTGATCAACGTGATATTTTAACAAAATTAAGTGGAAAAGATTTCTTAAAAATTATGTGGTTTGACGCTGAATTAGAATGAAATTAGTATATACTAAGTCTAAACCTCACACCTTCATATAATGAATTCCGATTCTCTGGTTGACGTTTGCCACCTAAGCTTATAATATAAAATTTAGCCACTTTGGTGGAGTTAATATCACATTCATACTTATGTATATCTCACTTCAAGCAATACAACTGAGACTAAGTTTATGGCCTTTAATATAAGTCAAGAAGATACCAAATTTGATTGTAATTTAATCACGATATCATTTAATAATGGATGTTTAATTCAATATTTTTTAATATACGGGTTAGAGAAATTTTCTGGTCTTTGATTTTCCCAGCTCACATGTACTACTTATGGTATAATTTTTTTCGTCAATTTGATAATTTAATGAAATTAAATGGACAGTTTTTCTCAAAACTAATGTATATCGCTGCATATGAATGAAATTGGTCTAGACTTTGTTTAAACCTTATAACCCTAATATACTGATTTCCGCTCCTCTGGTACAACAGCAACCTCATATACCCCACATATTAAATCTAACCCCTTTGGTTCAGTTTATATCACATATACCATGTTTGAGTTAAATAGCTTCTTTTTATAAACGTTAATATTTCGGAGAAAAAAAGAGTATTGACACAAAATAAATCTATGATCAATAACATAAGTTAATAAGATACCAAATAATAATCGAGTAATGAATGTTGAATTCTTTCGCAACATTTTTATACTTTCGCAACATGTTGCAACAGAGTATAGTTTTGTTCACCAAAGAGTTGTTTGCATCACCTAAAGTGATAGATATAGATTTCTATATACATATATTTCTTCTAATATTTGGTGATAATCAATCATGTTGAACTTATTATAAAATATACCAGACAACAATGCTAAAAAAGTTTCTTAGAGTGCTGGACTTTGTATAGAGAAAAAAAATCTTTCTAGAAAAACTTGCATGAAATAAATATTAGTAATGTAGTATCAAAAGGGCTAAAGACACTTTTTATGTGGTTATAGATCAACTGCGACCCCATCGGTTTACATGCTACTGTCTATTATTTCAGTTTTCCGACACATTTTAATATGAAGGTCATGAGGTGAACTGTAAACTCAAGAAAATTACATTTTTACCTAGCGCCGTTGGCAGCTTATGAAAGGTTTAGATATTAAGACAGAAAGAAGAAAATCTACATACCCGCTCTACATATGTGTATACCATACTTAATTATATGTAAGTTATTGTTAATTTAGCCTTCATGGGTAGACCCTTCAAAATAAGTACCATAGATCTTCCTGTTTTAGAAAGCGTTTAACAAAAGTATTTTACGGAGGGGTTTTCCGAGAACTTAATTTCAATACAATGAAATAAACTACTAATTTCTAAAATATAAATATAACTAAATATTATGCATATTATTTTAGTGAATAGCTAAGTAATATATAGGTATACAAAAGTACGTAAGCTGTACCAACATGTTGCAAGAGTATAATAAATATCAGTACACTGTGTTTGTAGTTTCAGTTTCACTAGATGTCTTTACCAGCAAAGTGCCTTATTCAAAC